CTTAGGTCATTTTGATGAGGAAAAACAGAAGCTTCTGTGTTTTTAAAGCTCAAATTAGAGCGCACTTTAGCCTGCATGGGTCATGTGAAGCTGAAGTGACCTGTAGGGATATTAACAGTGTCTACGGCACCACACTGATCATTTCTTTCAAATGGACAATTATTTGTTCCTGTCTGAAATGTGTAAAATCGAATCCAGGCAGCGCTTGAAATTTACGATCTGTTCATCAAAGCCGAAATCCAGACACTTGACTTGATACTTCAGAGCTTTGTCATGTCTCCCTTAAGCAACCACATTTCCACCAAGAACCCGAGCCAAGAGCTGCTGATGCATGGAAACTATTCCACAGAAGTCTTTCCGAAACACCGCCACCTTGTGACATAACCCAACAAACCGCACACAAAGACATCACTGTATATGCGTTTCTCCTGATGGAGTTTGCTCCATTCAGTGACATTTTAGACAGTACACCTCTGTATGATAATGCCCTTTATATCACTGGTGCTGCTTTATTTTAAACCCTGGCTTTTGCTCTGTTAATGAATCACTGAATGCATCCATGTACATTCTTTACTTCTGATAGGATTGAAGAACATCCTGGATAACTGTCAGAGAGTTCCCAACCCTGACCAGAAGGACAAAGATAATGACGGTGTTGGTGATGCATGTGACAGCTGCCCTGAGGTGCCAAACCCCAACCAGGTGCCACACGACTTTATTACGAGCTCTGTTCTATTCTATTGTATTTTAATTAGATATTTATTGATTGCTGTTGGATATTTATTTGTGGATGCAAATTTCCCCCTATTTTTATATTTCAGATTACTTTTTGGTGTTATCTAGTATCACCTAATTTGAATCTAATTTATATGGATAGCTTTCTAGTGCTAGACTTTAGCTTTTAAAAATCACCTTTCTTGAAAACTGGTTTCCTCCCTCTATTTTAGGGAGTCAAATTATTTAGGCATTTTATCAACTGTTCTTCTCAAAATTAGTAGTTATCCACGTTTCAAACAAGGGTTGTTATTATAGTTAACTAAAACGAAAACCACAAAAGTGCAATGATTCTTGCAATGTTAACTGAAATCAAATTTCAGCTACAACATTTCTCATATTTATACATTCATTTAATTTAACTTGATTTAAAAAGGGGGAAATTAATACAAACTACATAGACATATTTAAATAATAATAATGACAAAATAATAAAAATGACCAAAACCACAAAATTATTAAAACATAACTGGGGAAAAAAAGGAAAAATATAAAAATAAAAACTAATTTAAAAATATGAATAAAAACTAAATAAAACTATAATAGTACCTCATAAATACAAAAATAACTTGTTTATACTGCCTAGCATCACAACATTGATTAGAGTTTTTAGTGAGATTTATTTATTCATTTTAGACAAAATAGCATCTTATCATACCGGCAGAATCCCTCTTATCACTGTACATATCCAAAAACATGGTATAACCATCAAACAATGCTGACCAAGCTAGTTAAACAATATTAAACAAGCAAGAGTGCTGCTGTTCCTAAATATCAGTGGCTGATTGCCTGCTGATATTCACAAAACAACACGATTCTGAGTTGCTCTGATTCTGAGAACAGTTCAGTGAATGAACAATAAGTTAATATACACAGTATCGTGTTTTGTCTGGTTTTGCTTCACCAACGAAAATAGTTAGAGGAAACAAATCCAAAGTAGAAACAACCTCTTCGCGATTCGGGTGAGTGAATGATTCAAAGATTCACTCATCCGGTCCAGAACGAATCGGCGTATTTGAGTGAAACCGTTGAATGAACGATTCAATCACAAAACAGTCACTTGCTGCCACCTACTGGTGCAAATACAAACAAAGGACGCTATACAAACAATGTGAAGTCCCTGTGCTGTTAGGGTCCGATCTTTTAAGGCCTCTTGTCCAGATTCAAGGGAACTAATTGTTGTTAAATGTGCATTTTGTATGCTGAATATGTAATTTTCAATATTACCGTTTTAACCTGTCCTCTGTTTTCTTTCAATTAGTCTGATGTTGACGATGATCTCGTTGGAGACACTTGTGACACAAACATTGATAGGTAGACTCTGATTTTTTACCTTTCTCTTTGGTCAATATAAAACAAGTTTATAACCGAGTTGTTTTGTTCCAGTGATGGAGATGGTCATCAGAACACCAAAGACAACTGCCCCACCATCATTAACAGCTCGCAGCTGGACACTGATAAGGACGGGCTTGGAGACGAGTGTGATGATGACGATGATAATGATGGCATCTTGGATGGTCAAGATAATTGTAGACTGGTGCCAAACCCAGACCAAAAAGATGAAAACCGTACGCACCACAACATTTGCTTAGTAGGATGTCATAAGTTGTTCAATTAATTAAGACTAATGTTTTAGTTTACATTTTTTAAAAATGCTACAGTGACATTTGTGTGTTTTTAAGTGTTCAAATATTGTATCATAATGTGCTTCACAAACCTATAGTGGACTCAGACCACTGATAAAAAGATATTATTAGCTAAAAGTCTTGTTTGCGCTCTTCTTGTTTGTCAGATGATGGGGTGGGTGACGCCTGCACTGGAGACTTTGACAAAGATCATGTGATAGACACAATCGACACCTGCCCTGAGAACGCAGAGATAACTCTGACCGACTTCAGAGCCTATCAGACCGTGGTTCTGGATCCAGAGGGAGACGCTCAGATCGACCCCAACTGGGTTGTTCTTAATCAGGGAATGGAGATTGTCCAAACCATGAATAGTGACCCAGGACTAGCTGTCGGTATGTTTGTGACCCAAACCATTCGAATCATCTTGAGTATTTCCATGGTGAAAAGAACAGCTAAACCAACACCGATCCAGCATAGACCAGCCTGGAAATTCATACTGGTCTTAATTGGTCTTTTAAGAAAAGTTATGTTGTTTTCTCTTAAAGGGTACTCCACTCAAAAATGAAAATTCTCTTAACAATTACTGACTCATGTTGTATCATATTTATGACTTTCTTTCGTCTGTGAAACACAAATGTAGATTTCTGTAAGATAAAATAATTCAAGTGGACGGGACCCTCAAAGTTGATGCTTCAAAAACCACACAAAAGAAAAACAATGGTAATCCATTCGACCACAGTTGATGAATCAATGTCTTCTGAAATGAATTTATACAGTAGTTTAAAAAGGTTTCAAATATTAGTATTTTTTCGCACACACCTATTGTGTAGCTTCAGAAGACTGCGGTCACATGTTTGTTGAAGCGTCAACTATTGGTTTACTGTCCACTCGCATTAAATGGACTCTCAGAGATGTATTATTTTTCTAAAAATCTTCATTTTCACAGAAGAAAGAAAATCAAATACATCTAGGATGGGTAAGTAAATGATGAAAGACTTCTGTGGAGTATCCCTTTAACTGAATAGTAAACAACAATTTCTGTATTCGTTTTGTTTAAATCATGGTTGAAATATAAACTTTAGTATTTCGTTTTAAATGAAAATCTGGTCAAAACATGACACGGTCCTGCCGCCACATACAGGATATACAGCATTCAGTGGCGTGGACTTTGAGGGCACCTTCCATGTGAATACAGTGACCGATGACGACTATGCAGGCTTCATCTTCGGCTACCAGGATTCCTCCAGCTTCTATGTGGTGATGTGGAAGCAGACGGAGCAGACGTACTGGCAGGCGGTGCCCTTTAGAGCCGTGGCTGAGCCTGGCATTCAGCTTAAGGTCTCGGCGCTCTTCATCTCTATTACTGTCTGAAGGCTTGGCGTGTGCTTTTATCATTACTGCTGCTCTGCAGAGCCCTCTGCAAATCTAGTAAAGTGGCATTGGCTAAACTCTGATCCATGCAAAAACACTTAACCGATGTTATAAAGCTGTAGACATAGTTATTTTGCACTTCAAGTATGTCACAATTAGATTAGATTATTCAAGTAAAATCATAAACACACAGACATGATTCAATATATTTGCATTTCTAGGCTGTGAAGTCTAAAACCGGGCCAGGGGAGTTCCTGAGGAATTCACTGTGGCACACTGGAGACACAAACGATCAGGTGCGTTTGCTGTGGAAAGACCCTCGTAATGTGGGCTGGAAGGACAAGGTGTCCTACCGCTGGAATCTGAAGCACAGACCCCAAGTGGGATACATCAGGTTAGATGCTGTAAATATGGGCGACTTCAGACTTTACTGGATTTGGATATGATAAACGGTGCACTGAAGCAGAACATGTTTTTGTTTTCTCTGTTTTGGCACAGAGTAAAGTTCTATGAAGGTACCGACTTGGTTGCGGACTCTGGAGTTGTTATTGACACTAGTATGAGAGGAGGCCGTCTTGGGGTGTTCTGCTTTTCACAAGAAAACATCATCTGGTCCAACCTGAGATACCGCTGTAATGGTGAGTGCAGTGCTTGAACAATATTAGAACAATGCATTCTTATTCATTTCACTGTGTATCTTCATGTACATTTTTCTTGACATTTACAGACACAATTCCTGAAGACTATACAGAACAAGCCCAGAAGTAATGAAACTAAGCTGTTGTTTTGGGTAATCATCTTTCCAATTAATTATGGACCATTTACTGGCTTTTGCATCAAGACATATACAGGTTTATAGTTATGCTGAATTTACACTTCTATAATGTTTACTACACAAAAATGCAGTTCAGCCAGAAAGAGCAAAGCCTGTGTGCTACTACATTAAACACTCACTAAAGGTTTTAATATTAATAAAGTGGATAAATACATTTAAATTGTCAGGATTTGTGCTTGGACTTGCTGGACAATGTCATAGACTTGTAATTTTAAAGTCATAGTTTAAAACAAACATATAGCTTGTCCTGTATATTGTAAGTTTTCTGTGAGGCTTTGTGTGAGGAACCGACTGATATTTAACATTGACTGGTTTTATTTTGTAAGCCCCCTGAAGGTTGTTTCACCCTAAATTACACCTCTTAATTGTATACACAGTTCAGTCTCATTTTCATATGGTACGTGTGTTAGTTGTCTCCGTTCTGTGACTACAAATGACAAAACTTTCATATATAAAACATTTTTAAAAATTAAATAGACTACACCATTTTATTAATTTGTCTTTTTATTGAAAGAACTGGCAATATCAATAAAAACACTAAAGAATATTGATCCTGCAACAGTTAAACTCATATGACCCTTCATGGAACGTATTGAAATGAGAAAACGTAAATAATAATAAAGAAAATTCAAGGCATATAAATGAAAAAAAAAAAGAGTTGTTTGTAAACTTACTGTACATATTTTTGGATTATGTCGTCATGTGAAATTAGAACAACACAAAGCGCAAGATTACATTTTTTGCAATATTATGAGTACACCTAGTGGTCATCTGTACAATGGACTATTTACATAAAGCACATCTTTGTAAATAAAGGAAGGCATAATGTTTAATTCAGACAAACACTTTTAAACTAAATACTGAGCAACAAATAAGGGTTGCATAAAACAGTATGCTTTTAGTTTAATGCAGCTGTAGCATGTAGCGTTTAAGTCAATCATTAACTATTTGCTCATTTTGATTTGTATAAACAAGCTCTTTTTTTTTTAATCCCCAGACAGATTCTTCAGCTTTTGGAGAAGTTCTTCAGATCACAAACAGAAAGTAAAGCCGTGCCAGCTCCAATTGTAGTAAAAGAGATTTTGGTTCATCAAAGCATTTAGGACAGCTACAACTGCTACACAGGAAATAACCATAAAATGTCAAATAATTCCAGTTCTAGATTGTATTTCCTTCATCAACAACAATGCCAACCACTTTTTTTTTTCTACCAGGGAGCATCAGGAGTGCTGCAATACATCTAATACGGGCAGCTCCTGTAAACTGTAAACTAAACACCACAAACAAGATATACAGACATGCACTTCTAGCAACAAAAACCTCTGAAAGATTAAATAGAATAGCTGTACACAGCTGTAACAATGCTTTATATGTATAAAAGATTGTACAAACTTGTTCTTTGACAAATGGCATGCTTGCAAGTCTAGTGCATGAGCTGGAATAAAATAGTATAGGACATCCATGGTCTAAAGCACCATTTAAATTGTAACAAAAATCGAAAAATAAGAAAGAAACTATAGCTTCAGTGTTGCTGTGGGCCATATAACAATCTGTGTGGCAGTTTAGGTTTTTGGGGCATAACGATGTGGCCTTGGCTTTACCCTCCCATTTCAAATCAGCATAAGAACATTTAATGGGAACGGCAGTCACATGCTTTCCTTAGAATGGTGTGATTCACTGGAAACACCAGTATGCTCAATGTAGACTACCTGAGATTTAAGATGAAGCCGGAAAAGGAGGAAACTTCAGGAATGTTGCTGACTTAATTGGAAATATTGTTTTGGTGCAGTTTTATAAGGAAGTTATGTGCTTCAATAAATACAGTAACAAGACATCTCATTGGAGTACTTTCTTATAGGAATAATCTTGCACAGTAATTTCTCAGCTGGTTTTGATCATGTTTCCATGAGTGCCATTGGTGGTATAGTGTGGTGGTTTTGCAAGGCAGCAGTGTCCTAACTAATCAGGAGAGATATATCTATTAAATAAATAGATACATTTATTCAAATAAGAAGTCTTGTTACCTTAGTAAAACACACCCTTGAAGTGAAACACATTTGAAAACTTTTCAAAAAGGCAGACAAATAAATGAATGAAAATCATGGTTTGTTGATTTGCATAGAATTCTTCAGCTACCAAAAGAAAAGCGTTAACAAGCAAGACACTTACAGGTGATGTGTGAGCCTGAGCAATAGTTTGTTTTTATACCTTCATGTAATGAGGAAAACAAGAGCCCTACATCAGCATGAGAGTAGCCATAACATGATTTCTGTAACACATTTCCATAAAACTGCATTTGAAGACATAACTCAAAAGCTTTTACTATACTTAAACTAATAAAACAAACAAAAAACATTAAAAACAAACAAAACTCTCTTTCTCACACACACACACACGTGCGCACACACAGTAGTTGTAAGTGGACAGTGGTGATACTGGAACATGTGTGAAGGGTTTCTAGGCTTGGAATCTCTTTGGGAAGAGCATGGGGACCAACAGAGTCCACATGTACAGAAATAAGCAGACCCAACAGGATGCCATCTTGATCCAGAACACCGACCAGCTCCCCTCCAGCAGCCTCTCGATCTTTGCGTTCTCATAACTGCAGAGAGACAAGATCATATGCATATTACACATATATACACACACACACACACACACACACACACACACACACACACACACACAAATAAGCAAATGTCACAGCTGGCCTGAGACATTGAGACATTAAACAAAAAGGAGTTGTGTTGTGGAATGTTGTTTTTGTTGTTATGTACTTACTGAAACCAGTTGGTTACAGTCATCATGACGTAGAGGGAGCCGAGAAAGAAAACAAAATGGAAATAGCAGTAGCTGTAGATTGTGCCGTCTCTCTCATCATACTTCACATTCTGCCCTCCAGCAGTCTTCTCATCATCATAGTCCTCTGGAAAATAGAAAAAAACACCTGGTTTAAGAAACCTGTAGTACTTCTTTTTGACCACCAGGAGGCATCCATCTACCCTTTTCTACTGTATAAATGAATCCAAATTAGTATCAAAATACATTTAAGCTTTGAAATCTTCAGGTGATGCCCTAAAATACTAAAAGAGGTGTTGGATGAAGAAAGTGTCTTACCTGTATCATCAACACAGCAGAAGCAGCAGCGAGCTCTCTGAAAAGAAAAGAAAAAAAGCATGATTCATTACATAGTTTGATTTGGATTTTTTTGTAATGTTGTGTTAAACACAGCAGAAAGAGAACATGGCAAATGTTCACCTCATTTTCGGGCATATCGTTCCTGTACACCTGCAAGGCTGTTGAGCTCCTCTTGGTGGTGGAGATCAAACTGAAGGAAGAGGAGTATTTTTTTTTTTTTACTCAAATTGCATTAGACACATGGGGGCAGTGTTCTTTTTTTAACCGTCAAATGTAAAAAACAGAACATTCTCTAAATTATTCCCAAAACGCCACCAGACAAAAAAAAATAAGTCATTTTTCTGCTTCAAAGCTTTGTTTTGCCTCATGAAAACGGGAAATATGGCAAAAACATTTTGATGCGAGACACTACAATGAATCATTGGGCTGACAACTAACGCATATCACTGTGAATCACATACGTGTGTAAATAAGGCTTTGGTGGAGAGGAGAGAGCTTCAGCACACATGTCTGCAGGTAATGAGAAACACATGCGAGTTCACGTCTTCACAGTATGAGAGCTTCTAAACTTCACTCCCTTCCTCCCACACTACCTGCTTTTAAATCTAAATGAACATCTTGTCATAACCAGATAATTACATGTTTCCACTCCTCCTGGGATCGTTTTTGAGATCATCCATTTAAATAATATGTTACGGGGATTTGCTTCCAGGCCAAGAATATCTGAGCTTGTTTAAAGGGATAGTTCACCCAAAAATCAACATGCACCTTCATGTCTTTCCAAATTGCATTATATTGTCCTTTAGTGGAATACAATAGGTGGCTTGCTTGCAAAAGAACATTTATTCAGAAATTTTTTTTTTGGGGGGGGCGATTTCCAGCAAATGACTCCTTAAAGGAGTAGTTCACCCAAAAATGTAAAAAAGAACAATTGCATTAAATATCTATACTTAAACTAATAAAACAAACAAAAAACATTAAAAACAAACAAAACTCTCTTTCTCACACACACACACACGTGCGCACACACAGTAGTTGTAAGTGGACAGTGGTGATACTGGAACATGTGTGAAGGGTTTCTAGGCTTGGAATCTCTTTGGGAAGAGCATGGGGACCAACAGAGGCCACATGTACAGAAATAAGCAGACCCAACAGGATGCCATCTTGATCCAGAACACCGACCAGCTCCCCTCCAGCAGCCTCTCGATCTTTGCGTTCTCATAACTGCAGAGAGACAAGATCATATGCATATTACACATATATACACACACACACACACACACACACACACACACACACACACACACAAATAAGCAAATGTCACAGCTGGCCTGAGACATTCAAAAACAAAACAAAAAGGAGTTGTGTTGTGGAATGTTGTTTTTGTTGTTATGTACTTACTGAAACCAGTTGGTTACAGTCATCATGACGTAGAGGGAGCCGAGAAAGAAAACAAAATGGAAATAGCAGTAGCTGTAGATTGTGCCGTCTCTCTCATCATACTTCACATTCTGCCCTCCAGCAGTCTTCTCATCATCATAGTCCTCTGGAAAATAGAAAAAAACACCTGGTTTAAGAAACCTGTAGTACTTCTTTTTGACCACCAGGAGGCATCCATCTACCCTTTTCTACTGTATAAATGAATCCAAATTAGTATCAAAATACATTTAAGCTTTGAAATCTTCAGGTGATGCCCTAAAATACTAAAAGAGGTGTTGGATGAAGAAAGTGTCTTACCTGTATCATCAACACAGCAGAAGCAGCAGCGAGCTCTCTGAAAAGAAAAGAAAAAAAGCATGATTCATTACATAGTTTGATTTGGATTTTTTTGTAATGTTGTGTTAAACACAGCAGAAAGAGAACATGGCAAATGTTCACCTCATTTTCGGGCATATCGTTCCTGTACACCTGCAAGGCTGTTGAGCTCCTCTTGGTGGTGGAGATCAAACTGAAGGAAGAGGAGTATTTTTTTTTTTTTACTCAAATTGCATTAGACACATGGGGGCAGTGTTCTTTTTTTAACCGTCAAATGTAAAAAACAGAACATTCTCTAAATTATTCCCAAAACGCCACCAGACAAAAAAAAATAAGTCATTTTTCTGCTTCAAAGCTTTGTTTTGCCTCATGAAAACGGGAAATATGGCAAAAACATTTTGATGCGAGACACTACAATGAATCATTGGGCTGACAACTAACGCATATCACTGTGAATCACATACGTGTGTAAATAAGGCTTTGGTGGAGAGGAGAGAGCTTCAGCACACATGTCTGCAGGTAATGAGAAACACATGCGAGTTCACGTCTTCACAGTATGAGAGCTTCTAAACTTCACTCCCTTCCTCCCACACTACCTGCTTTTAAATCTAAATGAACATCTTGTCATAACCAGATAATTACATGTTTCCACTCCTCCTGGGATCGTTTTTGAGATCATCCATTTAAATAATATGTTACGGGGATTTGCTTCCAGGCCAAGAATATCTGAGCTTGTTTAAAGGGATAGTTCACCCAAAAATCAACATGCACCTTCATGTCTTTCCAAATTGCATTATATTGTCCTTTAGTGGAATACAATAGGTGGCTTGCTTGCAAAAGAACATTTATTCAGAAATTTTTTTTTTGGGGGGGGCGATTTCCAGCAAATGACTCCTTAAAGGAGTAGTTCACCCAAAAATGTAAAAAAGAACAATTGCATTAAATATTAGGGTGCCATCAGGAGTTCAAGCAGCAGATAAAAAAACATCACAATAATCCACAGGTGAAGCGGAAAGCTGCTTGTTTGTAAGAAATAAATAAATACATCAAGACATTTTTAACTTCAAATCGCTGCTTCTGACTAAAACATGAATCCTCTATCCATAATATTGCTTACTTAAGTGAAAAAGTTGTCTTGTCTGAATCAGGAGAGAAATATGCACAAATCAAGCACTGTTTAAAAGCGAAAACAGTTCTAAACAAATATGTCAGTGGATTTTGATGTGAGAGGGGGGTGATCTTTTTCACTGGAGGAATTATGGACCTGCAGTTTTAAGATTTGTGTGGATTACTTGTGGAACATTGTGATGTTTTTATGTTTTTTCAGCTGTTTGAATTCTCATTCTGACGGTACCCATTCACTGCAATGGATCCATTGGTGAGCAAGTGATTTAATGCTAAATTTCTCATTTTGGTTGGCCTGAGGGCGCGTACATTTTTAACCATTTTTCTTTTTGGGCAAACGATTACTTTAAATTTGGGTCTGTTTTTCACACAAATCTATTAAATGACTTGAAAAATCTTGGAATATAATGAACAAGTCAGATATGACCAATAATAACTTTCATAATACTATCATGGATTGGGTCATCACAATATCAGAAAACACAACTGTCATTGCTCATACCAAGAGTAGAGTATACAGCCGAACAGTATGGCCGTTCCGACGCCCGTCACTATGTTAGTCTCGCTCTGCAGTCCTGAATTGTAGGGAAAGACGCAGACAGTGACATTTTTTCCATTTCGCTCCACCACTGAAAGAGAAAGAGGGCATGGAAATAACTGCATAAGTCTGGAGGGTTGAAATGCATTATTGGGACCTGCAGTAGCCTCAGTTTACAGCTCTGTCCATACACAAGCTAGGAGACACCAGGGAAACCACAGAGCTCACTGTGAGACACACCCAGGACAGGTGACAGATGCACTCACTTTCAATGGGTTTGCTGGCGAGTGCTGAGAAGGTGAGGTACATGACGTAGACAGAGATGATCGCGGACTGCAGCAGACCTGAGGTGGGCTGGACTGTGTGGAGAACAGAGCAAAACATCAGATGTGTTAGTGAAAAGTAGCACATCAAGATTTTTACTTATCTGACCCTATCTGTTTGAGAGTTTATGCTTATTCATACATCATGCTTCTTTATTAAAGGGGTCATATGAAGCGATTTCAAGTTTTCCTTTCTCTTTGGAGTGTTACAAGCTGTTCGTGAATAGATAAGATCCCTAAAGTTGCAAAGAATAAAGTCTCAAACCCAAAGAGATATTCTTTATAAAAGTTAAGACTCGTCCATGCCCTCCTAAAACGCCTCATTTAAACACACCCCCACATGTCTAAGTCACTGTGTGGGAAGATTTGCATAACACCACCCAAATGTTCATGCAAAGAAAGAAGGCGTAACTTTGATTCTTGCTGTAGTATTGTTGCTGCCGCCGCCATGTCGTGGAGACGCTGTGTGTTTTGTTGTGAAAGCGAAAATACTTTGTTTGGTCTTCCAAAAGAGGACACAACTAGAAATCAGTGGTTAAGTTGTATTTACAACACTGTTCCAGAACACTTCAACCCAAATATTTAGATGTGTGCAATGCATTTTACGGAGGACTATTTCCTGAACCTGGGAGAGTAGCCTGCAATGCCGGCTGTTCTGACTCACAGACTGTAAGTATGTTTTCATATTTAAAGGATTTGCCACTGATGATTCAACGAGCAGTGAGCAGTGTAGAGTTTTGAGCAGTGTAGCGCTTGTTGTTCGTTGTTTCTCCGAACACAAATGCAAACATGGTTTTATGTTTACGTGGCGCGAAACGCAACGCAACGCGTAAAAAGACAGTATAAGTCATTATAATCCGTAATTATGTCCCCATTGGATGCAACAAATGCCTCGTTTATAATGGGTTTTATTGGTTTTGTCTCATCGCTCCGGCCGGACACGGCATCACAGTATGGTAAGGGGAGTAACATTTCCGTCACACGCTTGAGGTATTCGGCCAATCATAACGCACTGGATAGCTGGCCAATCAGAGCACACCTCGCTTTTCAGAATGATGAGCTTTGTAAAAATCGACACATTTCAGAAAGGCGGGGCATAGAGGAAAAACACTAATGTACATTATGTGGAAAATAATGTGTTTTTTTAACCTTAAAACGTATTTCATTACACCAAATACACAAAATAATGTTCTTTTTTAGCAACATCATATGACCCCTTTAAATTAACTATGTACACTACTGTTCAAAAGTTTGAGGTCAGTTTGATTTTTTTTTTACATTCTTGAAAGAAGTGGCTTATGCTCACCAAGGCAGCATTTGTTTACTCAAAAAAAAAGACAGCAATATTGTGATTTTTTTTTTTTTTACAATTTAAAGTATCTTTTCTATTCTAATGTATTTTAAAATGTAACTTATTATTGTGATGGCAAAGCTGAATTTTCAGCAGCCATTACGCCAGTCTTCAGTGTCACATCATATATGCTGATTTTCTATTATTACCAATGTTGAAAACATTTTGTTTGCTTAATTGTGGAAACCATGATACATTTTTTTCCAGAAAGTTCAGAAAAACATATTTTATTTGACTTAAATTGCTTGCTAAAACAATTTTCTCTAGTGAGAATCCATGATAAAACACTATTCCTCAACTCTCCGGCTTGATCACACATGAGAAAAGCTTCAGGCACTATGAATAAATTTGTTTGCCTGACATCAAACAAACTGTTTGTTAGTATAAAATGTAGGTCAGTGAAGACCAAGCATCTTTGTAAACTCACAGGTCTGAATGCAGGGCGAGATAGCCAGCAGAGACACGATGAAGCACAGGCCGCCGTTGACACCCAGGAAGAGCTTGTTGAGGAAGCAGGCCTCTGGGTCCGTGTAGAACATGATCATAAACACCAAGGCTCCCACTGCCACGGAGAACAGCACCAGTGTGACCAGAGCCAGCGCTGCATACCAGATTTTATTATACTTGACTCCTGAGCTCCTGTGGAGGGACACAGTGGAGACAGTTCAAAGGAATGCTCTGGGTTCGATTCAACTTCAGCTTTTGTGGCATGATGACAGTTATCACAGGAAATAAGTACACATATAAATTATAAATAAATATATGTAAACATAGTATACATGCTAACATGAGAGTAGTGTGTTAGAATGTCCTGATGACTTTGTCTGTTATATGAAAATTTTCTAATTCATTGTCATGATAACGTAAACCTGAAATTTTCACATGATACAAACAAAGACTCCAGAGAGAGGTGACTTAACTATCTGACACTGTTTATATGAAGAAAACTCCACCCTGAAGAATCATTCTGCAAACCAGAAGTTCATCCACCTAGACAATTTAGACAACTTTAAAGGGGTCATGAACTGCATTTTTAAAGCATTTCATTATGTTTCCTGAGGTGCACTAATAATATTAGTATGATTTTTCATCAAAGAAAAATAAAATGCTGTTTTCTACCCTGATTTTAGTCCTCTGATTTGGAAGGGGCGTGTCTGCTGTGAGACTTCAATGGAAATGCCCACTGCTGTGATTGGCTAACATCTTAAGTAGTACATGTGGAGCTCTCTCAAAAACTTTTACTACATTTTTACTGTTACAGCTGTTGAGATTAACTAATCATGGAGAGTGTTGATAGCATTATATTTAGATCTACTCCGATGAGCATTGTAGCCGATGACAGACTGTTGAGCGCATGAACGCAGTGATCTCGTCATTGCAACTCTAGTTTTGCTCTCTCAAGAATGCTTTCATCATGACTAACAGTGCAAACATGATGTAAATAAGAGATTCATTGTGCAGTTTACTGAATAAAAACCTTTTGGATTTTCAAAACTCAAAAATGAATTAAAATACATTTATATACTACGATTAAAAAAATAAATTCTTCTTCTTCACAAAATGAATACTTTTATTTAGCAAGGATGCAATAGACTGTTCCAAAGTGACAATAAAGGCAAGGTAACAAAATATTTATATTTTGTAAAAAGTAAATCCTGAATTTAATTTTGTATAAAAGAATCCTGAAGAAATGCATCACAGTTTCCCCCAAAATTAAGCTGAACAATATTTCTATTATTTTATATATATTTAAAATTTCTTACTTTGTATAAAATAAGGTGTATGTGCACTAAATCCTAAACTTAAAAATATAGATTCTTTACATTTTCAGAATAAACAAATAAATAAAAAACATACCATTTTATTTAAATTAGCATTTTTATTTACATTACTTCTGAATAAAAAAAAAAAAGAGTGTTCCCAAAGGGAGGTCAAATTTCTTAGGACAATTTTGTCCCTAATATTTCATGCATTACAAAATTCTGCATTCTGGATATTTCTGCTCTTTTGTGCTGAGGTTTCCATTTGTTGACAGAGAGCAGAGGGGAAACTATGATGCACGTTGAGCTCTGCCATGGGTTTCCTGTCCACAGACTGGAGAGCAGCCAAGAACCTCTAACTTATTCTCTTTCTCTTTCACGGCCATACTCTACTACAACAACACACATTATTTATGAACACACCCCTGAGACAGCTCTGCTTAAAAAACAAAACCAAAAAAAACAATGCTTTACTTTTCTTTTTCAGTGTCACTGTCTTACAATTGAAATGTTTCATGTCTTGAAAACTCCCACTGAAATGAAACACTCTGGTTCTTAGAATTTGAATGCTAAAAAATGCTTTCACTGGTACTGCTATGAAACCTGCTCTACTTGTTGCTGAAACTGGAGGGTGTGGGAGAATCCATCTATACTCACACTATCCATGTGATCTGTACTTCACACCTTGTCTGCCACAGTGTCAGTGACTAAAATAAGTGGCAGTCCCCTTCTGGTGTAGCAGCACAATGTTAAGACCACTTCCCATCTGACAGTGGAAATGAAATGCCGCCAGATTACACTATAGTCTCCATTCCCAGACCTAATGATTTCCAGTTGCGGGGATTCATATTACATACCAAGCAACAATTGGATACAATGATGGAAATAACTAGAAAACTTTTCCAAGAGCCTAATAAGTTTTCCACTTGGTGAATGAAAAGAGGGAAGTAAGGAAAAACAGACAGTTATTTGGACGGAGCTAGACATCAGCTCACCAGTTTTGATTCCATCTGTGGGCAAACTGAACGAGAAGCATCAACTGGATGATGATAAAGAGAAAACCTCCAGCAGCCCCCACATAACGCCAGACTGAAAGACAGAAAGAGAGAGATGAGTCTAAGGTCTTTCCCTCTGGCTGATACTGTATGACAAACAAACACTGCTTTCTGCTAAAGAAAAACTATTAATATTAGTTTATTCAATAATACTAAAATAACACTGCATACTATACTATGGAACCGCTGTTGTTTGTGAAAGGAGTTGAGATATACTTCCATTAAAACAAGTGCACTGATTTAATTTATCTCTATGAGGATAACATCTCTCTATCAATATTATTTTCACAGTAATTAGGGTTTAAACTGAAGTACGACACTCGAGATCTTGTGTAACATTCCTCTAAATATTTGTGTAATCATGAGGTCTTTGACACAGGCAGCAGAAGACTCTGTTTGAGTTACTGGAGTTGATGAACCACAGAGACATGCTCACAGTCTGTTAACTGTGTTGCTCTTGGACATTTAAGTAGGGGAGATATCTCAACACCACTGCAGGCTCAAAGTAGAGAATAATAAAACTTTCCAGGAATGTCTCAAAACTTCTCAATAAAATGTTTGAATACATTTTTACAAGCCTCTTTAAAGCACATGAAAACAATAGCAGCGAATTTAATACAAAGAAAACAAGTATGTGAAAACTGATCATACTAAACCTTCTAGAAACCTTTCTTGATTTGGGAGAAAAAATCCGCCTGCACAGCAGGCCAGCAAAGCCACAAACTTAAAGAACCAGAACCTGCAAATAAAAAGAAGAATTTGTTGATTTAAGACAAAATATTTTGAATAAGGATAATAATTCTAAAACTGGCAGTCTGGCTTTACAATATACTGTGAGACATGGGTTTTCAAACAGTTTGAGAACAACAGTAAGTGAATTTAAAAATTAAGTCAATGTACTAAAGTTTAAAAGAATGTATTAAAATGATCTGGAAAATAATATTAATTCAAAATTATTATTAATAAATCAACACATTCCTTTTACACAACAGATATTGATCCAAAGCCATTTTGTTTCAAATTCTACACTTTTTTTTTCTCTATACAGAAGTTTAAAGATACACTACCGATCAAAACTTTTGGGTCTGAAAGATTTTTTTATTTTTGAAAGGAATTAATACTTTTATTCGGCAAGGAAGCCTTAAATTGATCAGTAAATATGCTTATAATGTTACAAAAGATTTCTATTTCAAATAAACATCGTTTTAGAACTGCAGAACATCCTATTCATCACAGAATCCTGAAACAAATATGTATCACGGTTTCCGCAAAATATAAAGCAGCATAACGGTTTTCAACATTGTTAAAAAAAATAATCAGCAAATTAGAATGATTTGTGAAGGATCATGTGACACTGAAGACTGGAGTAATGATGCTGTAAATTCAGCTTTGCCCACATGAATAAATTATATTTTAAACTATATTAAAACTATATTATATTATATTTTTATGTAATATTATTGAATAATAATACTGTTTTAGTGTATTTCTGATCAAATAAATGCAGCCTTAGTGAGCATAAGAGACTTCTTTCAAACTAAATGAAAAATCCCACCAACCCCAAATATTTACCATGATACATTTCCTACAGTATGTCATTCTGAGATTTTGTCTGTTGCTATCTAATATAGGATTTCCTGTTTACCCATGTTAGTATGTCATCATAGGGTAGTTTCAGGAAGATCTAAATGAGGTTTTTATTGAGGGATTTAGGCCTGTTTTTTTTCTAAAGGCTTGTATGAATGTGCAGAGCAGGATGGAGCTCAGCCTTATACTTCCTCACCCTACATTTGCCTACAACACAAAGATCTGATTATTGCGACATGAAGTGCTCTCATGTGGGGCTAAACTCTCCCATTCGTAGGGGTAAAGCTCGTCTCCAAGTGCCATTTCCTCTGGACAGAGCTTTAATTTAATACCTCTATTCAGGGCTTTGGTTGTGGGTGAATAATGGAGCATTAGGAGGGGCGTACAGATGGAGGCCGCAGGCCAAACAATACACAGTGGTCCCTATAGCTCCTGTGAACCTGGGCCCAGAGGGGTCACGGAGCAAAGCAGAGGAGGAACAAGAACTGTTTCCAGTGTAAATACCACTTCAAAAGTGTCTGGACTGACCGCTTACCCGTTGTGAACAGCCGCCCGGCATCCCGTGCTGGTTCGCACACGAATGGTGAACACAGAGAATAATAAGAAAAAGCAGGCCATGCCGAAACAGACTTTATACACGGCAGAATAGCCCACTAGGGTACTGCAATTCTCCCCCGCATTGAGCTTATTGCACATTTCGGTGTAGAAAGGAATCTGGGAAGAGCACAAAACAAAAGAGGAATACAATTACATTTTGAGTAACAGAGTAGTTGCAGTCGCTTCAGGGCAAGGCTATCGTTAAACTGAGTCCAAACTGTGAACACACCCCTCCACGCTGGGTGCCAAAAGATCAATTTAAACTCAAGAAATACACACACCTTAAATAGACATTAAAAAATGTAAGAGCATTACTTACCATCCAAAAGTCCTAGATTTGTTTTTTAAATTACATTAAAAAAGGAAAAGAAATGAATACTTTCATCTAGCAAGAACACAAATTAATCAAAAGTTACATAAAGATTCTTACTCTGTTATTAAAATCAATTATGTTCTTTTAAACGTTCTATTAAATAAAATTCTAAAAATAGTTTTCAACATGGAAAATAATCAGAAATGTTTCTTGAGCAGCAAATCAGCGCATCAGAATGATTTCTGAAGGATCATGTGACACTGAAGACTGGAGTAATGATGCTGAAAATTCAGATATGCACAGGTATTTTAAAATACTAATAAAATCTTTACATTAAAATGTAAAAAATATACATATTTCAAATTGTAATAATATTTAACAATTTTTACTGTATTGTTATCAAATAAATGGAGCCTTGGTGAGTTCAAAAACATATAAAAAAATCACAATACCATCATGTATTATAATAATAATAATAATATGGTACAGTGGTGGTAATCAAATAGTAATACAATGCTACTTTTTTTGACAATTTTACAATGTACAATGGTAATAATGATTATAATATTCAAATCCATTGTACTGAAAACTATAGTATTACCATTGTTCATGTCTAAAAACATGGTATTACCATGGTTTTTCTTTGTAAGTGTATTAAAGCCAGTCAGATTCAAACAAGTATTTATGGTTCTCTTTTGTGGTTTTGAAGAGAAAGCTGGCACAAACTACAGGGCATTGGTCAATTCTTAAAATATATTAAGGTTCCCAGCAGTGCACATTACGTAGGCCTGCTACAATGTTGGGAGGCCCTGCTCCTATTATAACATGGACCATCATATAATATAAAGTTATTAAGGTGTTCCTCCATCAGAACTCGCTCCGTCCCTGTGTTGAAAACACGAAAGACCACCAGGAGAAGATTTTATGTGCTCTTAAATTTGAAACAACTATTTGTGAAAAAACTTCAACAGCTATACATTTTTGTGTCTGGGGCACCTGAGTGGCAGTTCTTTTGTGCCTCACCAAAAGGCAGCGCTTTTATAACGGTGCTGGTCTTTTTTAGTGTCTGGGTGTTTTATACTCATGGCATTTACTCAGTAAGCATTTATTGTGGTGCTGAGAGCAAAAAAAGAGCTTGAGCTCACATTACACACCCAGCGCCTTTCAACCACATTCAGTCACCACTTTTGTATAGCTACAGAAAAACAAAATGCAGCTTTACTGAAAGAGTTATTATACAGTGTGCAACAATTCCTGTGTTAGACGTTATGATGGAGCATTGATACTCTGTCTTACATTTCTGCCATGCTTTGAAACAGAAGAGTCGTGTAGCTCTTCTTTGTGTTTGTCTGAATAATATGGGCTAGCTGCCTGCAAATAAACCCTTGATCCCTCGATTGCCCCTTTCTTTAACGAATGAATGAATGCGTAGATTCGGTCCTTACAAATGTTTCAAATGCCCCTTTGCTTTTAAAAAGATCTGTCCAGGTAGTAGAAGACATAATGCTCTTCTGTTAGTTAAGGTATGCTTTTACTTATTTAGCAAAAAAAAAACAAAAAAACAACAACACTGACTTTAGAAAAAGCAATGATGGTGGCCTGGTGTTTAGGAGTCTGTCTTGCAACACAAAAGTCTGAGGTTCGAATACAGATTTACTTATATTTTTATATTTAATATATTACAAAAAACAGCAAATGTGTCTCTTTAACTACATGTCTTATGAACTCAGTAACGATACTGATCTAAACCTCAAGTACAAAAAACGTGCTTCATTTCAAGAAAATGTATATAATATAAAAAAACTGTTGCAAATGTCTCTTTTAACCGGAGTTCTGTAGGTGAGTCAACTGGTGATTCAGTCTTTTCTGATCTTTTCAAACTTTTCTGATAACGATTCAGACTGATTCAAACCAGTAACTTGTGTTAAGTAGTAAGCCTTTTTGAAAGATTAATTTCAACAAAAATGGCTCATAAAAGCAGTGCTATTATCATTAACTAAAATTATTAAAAATATTTCTGTTAAACTAAATACTTTTTTTTAAAGAATAGAATTACTTTAACAAAAATTCATAAAACTATAAAGATATACTGTATTTTATATTATATATAAAACCAAAAACTAATAAAAATTACAAAAACATTCAAATTTAAATCTTTCTACCAGATATGTTTAGTTTTTTTTTTTTTTTTTTGTCATTATTCCACAAAAATTTAAACTGCAAAATAACATATATATATATATATATATATACTGTGTATATATATATATATATATATATAAAATATGCCTCAATCTAAAAGCATCGGTTGAGACAGAAGTTGACAAGTCAGGCCCACACAGAATCTGCACCCACAGAGCTCAACTAAAAATACCACAGATTTCCAAATGTTTTCAAAGTCTCTCATTCACAAAGTTAGAAACATATTACCTGGCCACACTTTGAGTTCATTTATTAATATTTTTGCTTATAAATAACTTGACTATGCTTTCAGTTAGCAATAAGAGCGTAGTAATCTCAACTCTGATTAACCCATTTAAATCCATACTAGTGTTCTGCATATTTCCCCCCCAAAACAGAACAGACAATATGAAAGTGTGCCCAACTAATAGGTGTGTTTAACTTGAGCTGGAACTTTTTTTTTTTGCAGGAAGGCAGATGCCCAGCAGCAGGTCTGAGCACCCCTGACCTGAGACCAGATTTAATGGTCTTTGTATATTAGGGAACCTGATACTAAAAAATGCAAACGGAGAAGCTCTGAACAAACTCACATTTTCTTGCATTGCTGTCTCCACAGTGGGGGACATCATGATGACACAGGTCACTGTGACCAACATGAAGAAGAGGGTGTACATGAAGCGTGTCGAGGTGGACTGTTTGATCTTGGGACAGCAGCCACAGCACAGGGAGCAGGCAGCCGATCCACAGCAGCAGGCCAGCTGCAGAAATACAGCACACGAGTGAGCCGGACACATGCAAGTGCTTAATAATAACACTTCACAAACCATTACAGTGATCTACAATGAAACAAATTGATTTTAAAGCACATCTGCCTATTTAAAGGTATAAAATAAGTCAATTAAAGTGTTACTGTAAACCAAGGGCAAAAGAAAACACAATATTTTTAAGATTAAGTAATATATACACATTTCATCTGAAATAAACAAATACAATGATGTACTGTGAAACTGAGCAAATGCATTGGGGGGACTGTGAACATCTTATTGGTCGTCATACCCTTTAGCAACACAAATGCCTCATTCCTATTGGCTGTAAGCAATGTAGAGCTGGGCTGTTACTATGAAGCAGCTTGATTCACATGACGCAAGACAAGGACATAACATGAGGCTCCGAGATCAGATTGAGTAGATATAGAATCAGTACAAATGTCTCTGGACATTTCAGAAAATCCCTTAAACAATGATTTGAACTGACAAATAATTACATTGTGTGATGTTGTGTCCTGTACACACAAAATCATCTAGTCATAAGTTATCAAATTTTAAAGGTTTCAATAATAGAATTCGACTTGTCGAAAACTAAAATGAAATCTACAAGAGGTGGTGTTAAAATGTGTTGTTTTCCAAAAACAGATACTAATTGATATACTTTTATATACTAAATGGATAGTTCACCCAGAAATTAATATTCTGTCATCATTTACTCACTTTCATGTTGTTCCAAACCTGAACTAATTTCTTTCTTCTGTTGAACATAAAAGAAGATATTTTGAAGAATACTGGTAGCCAAACAATTGATGGAAACCACTGACTATGGAAGTCAATGGGGACCATGAACGGTTTGGTTGCACACATTCTTTTGTGTTCAGCATAACAAAGACGTTCAAGGTTGGAATCATTTTTGGGTGAACTATCCTTTTAATGGAATCATTAATTTCAACAACCTAAAAATTAAGAAATTGTGACAATAATGCTGATGATCCTCTGATTGGGCGTATTACAGAAAGATCTTAACTTTAGAATCCCATCTTAGCTGTTAGATAACCATGGCAATTTCAGTTAGAACCTCTTTTAGGACAAAAGCTATTACAGAACAACATTTCCTAAGTGCATTATCTTATCTTAACTACAGATAGGAAAACGGTATTACAGAACCATCCTAACTCGCCAAAAAATTCCATTTTTGAAATTCAACTGTAAAAAAACACATTACATTAGCCCTTTTCGAGAACGGCATAACATTTATTAATCATACAAGATGAAGAGAAGTGAAGTTTGATGGTGGAGAGACTTTTGAAGGACCCAAAAATGTGTCGCACTTTGAAGATAAAATACTCATAAATGATTACAGACTCCCACCACACATGATTTTGCGGTTAGTTCAAGTGAACTTTATTGTCATTCCGCTATATGTGCAGACTGCAGACGTACAAATATCATGCCTCACAGGACCACAGTGCTACATATAGACAGACATATAACCCTATAAAAATATATACATAGAGCCTATATAGTATATGCTGTATAGTTGACCAATTGCGACCAACATTACAGAGGCCCATGAGCCGTCACGGATCACAACCGGTCATTCTGCAAGTTAAAAGCACGCCGGTGTTTCTCCATTTTTATTTAATTTTTTTTCAGCAGCCACTTGGTAACAGACCTGAGTAACCTGACAGTTGATTATCGAACTCGATCGAGCGGATTAAGATTTCCTAATATAACATAAGATTTTGTAAGATAAGATTAGAATCCTAAATCAAGATAAGATTTGCTTCTGTAATACAAATTTGTGAAAAATCTTAAAATAAATGATCATATCTTAAGTTAAGACCTAATATAGGAAGTTTATGTAATATGCCCAAGAGTAAATGTTAATGAATTTGACAGTAAACAGCACATCACTTTTCAGAGCTATGTAACAAGAAACAGAGAGCAGGAATCAAGAAGACACATCCCTCTCTCCAGACAACAGGTGGTCAGCATGTACGATCCCAACCCATGACAGCACAATGGAGTCCCACTCGCTGGTCAACACTGGTCGAGTGGGACAGCACTCTACATATTCTCGCAAACAAACCATCCCTCATCTCCTGCCCCGGAGACAGTTCTCATGCCCCTACAAAGAGCCCTTCTCTAACCCTCTCCCGCAACCAGCAGGAGTCTGGGTGAAAGGTGACGGACTATGAGTAAGGACAATAACCTGGACATTGTTTTCTTAACAATTCAGACTGGGAAATTCTCAAGCTCCTCAGAAGTGTGTGGAGAAGCTCTTTGAAACTACATCCAAAGATTGGAAGAACACTGTGTTGTAGCAAACAGATTCTAGGTTTGTAGTTCCACCGTGTTTACACCCAGCAGAAAAGTCAACCATAACCAGAAAATAAGGATCTTAAAGCTATTACAGAACTGCTGGGTGCTAAAAACAGAAACTTTTACTTCCTTTAATGAAAAACAATAGTAAGCCAGTCAATGTTGCACAATAAGTTTGGACTGCAGTGACTCAACACTGAGGAAAAATGCTAACTCAAGAACTGGTTAGATTCCAAAATTATCAGCTGGAATTATCAGTAAAACCCAGAATTTCACTTTTGCTTTTTTAAATAATAAAATTTAATTAATGGAATTGTCAAGAAAAATTATGATTTTTATAGAATGTTACATTTTCTAATAAAACTTAAAAAATCCATAAAAATGCTATTGTAGTTCTTTAGTTTCATTAGTCTAATTGTCAAACAAAATGATGAGCGCAGAAACATTTTCCTGTCAGGAGAGTATATTTTATGAATTCAACTGATTATACATGCTTTTTAATTAATACAATTTAATTAATGGAATTGCCAGTAAAATTCAGAATTTCATAGAATTTGCATTTTCAAAAAGAATTGTAAAAATCCATCATAACTCTTTAAAAATTGTCAAATAAAATAAGCATGGAAATATTCCCTGTTTTAAAGTTTTAGGAATTCAACTGATTAGACATTTTAATTACTAATATTTAATTATTAAATAATTATACCATTAAAACAGAATCCAGAGATGTTAAAACACTAGATGACTTAACAAGACACTTGGCAGTCAAACAAATAATCAAACACAGTTTAAACTGATCCCTGGTGCATGTTACAAATGGCCAAGAACACTAATAGACAAAGTTATCCGATATATTTCACTGAGCTCAAGTACGATCACTGTCGAAACTCAAAAGACAATTCATCTGTAGTCTCCATGTCATGAATAGCTGCTTTGTGGGTCTGTTAGCCAGGCAATTGTACAGCTGAGGCAAAAATGTATTACTTCACTGTTTGACGTGTCGTGTACACAAAAAAGTGCTCTTTTGTCCAGAGCAAAGAGTGCCCCATTGTAACACTGAAGAGTCAAACCTTCCTGCTAGAATCGCACTGCACACCGTTGATGGATGGCAATTACTTGACAGCTTTTTCAGTTGCAAATACAGAGTAATCCAAAGGCTCGCGGCAAAAGAGTAAACACCCTCTACTATGTTAATGGAGGAAGTCAGAGAGTGAAGGCTGTGTGAAATTCACAAGGGTGAGAATGTCTCACTACTATCCACAAAGTCATCACAGATTGTGCTAAGCTTATTGTTTGCTCTCCCTGAAGAACGCTAGTGGCGAAACGCGTTGGAGAGTTTTTAGATTTCTTGGATGTAGCCATTTGATAATAAAGGCTTTTTAATTCACAAGAGTGCCATGGTCATTCTGAAGTATTCTTTGATGGACTGTTATAAACCCTAGAACAGAGAGCACCTTGACCTTAAAGCACCAGAATCCCGAGACACAATGCTTGACAGATTGTCCTACCACAAATGTCTGAATTCAGTTCGCTAGAAGAAGAAAAAAAAACCTCACTAGCTGAGATTTGAGGAACGTGTAAAAATCCACAAAAAGCCCAGAGGATAATGGGATGTGGGGTACACGTTTTGGCCTATTATGGTGACATCTTCTTCATCTTTCATGCCGATTCATTAGTCAAAACAGATAAGCACACTGGAGACGCTACAAATCTTTGTAGTTTTCATGTGGGTGTTTAGACAAATCAGATCTTATAAATAAATTTACTTCCAAGGCCTGATCAAGAACAGTGTGTCATTGAATTCATTACTAACAAATAATGAAGAAGATAATAGATACCCTTCCTGTATTAACAGATCTGCAACGGTAACTTGGAATTCAGGCATGAATGTTTTCACAGTGCAATGTTACTAGGCAATAAAACCACCATTTTTATAGAATGCATCACTTCGGCTGATTCATAGGACAGTCAGATATGACTCAAGCCCAGACATCTTAAGGAGATTTCACAGTTAGGTTTCCAGAAAGTTTCCCAGTAGGACAAGAACAAATAGTCCAATTTGCAAGAGCTGAGAAACATTTCAGAACCTAGAAACATGCCACAAAACATTATATTCTAGGGATGCTCCGATCCGCCTTTTTCGCTTCCGATACCGATTCCGATACCTAGGGTTCAGTATTGGCCGATACCCGATACCGATCCGATACCAGTGAAGTTTTTTCCCTCATTTAAATAAATGTAGAATTTATATATCTCTGTGTGTGGAACTGATAATCATTCTTTCACAATCTACTAGATACAGACTACTTCATTATAAAGAAAACTAAAATGAAATATGAAAAATATGAAAAAAATATAGGCCTATGTATATTTATAATCTATGACAAAAATGTATCATAAACTAGGTTAGTGGATAATTTGGCAGCAAAAGTTATTCTAGAAAAATCAGTGCACAATAATTTTAGAAATCCAAACATTAAGTGAAAACCAATATTGTGTGGGGAACAAATAAGAGTGCTAAATATGGTAAAATGTTACACATTGCTATTTGTATTATTATAAAATCCATTCATTAAAAACATTCATGAATGTATTTA